ACCATGATTTGAAGTTGAATCCATGCTCCCGGCCAATCAGAGGTCGCCTTGATTGTGGACCGTCCATCGTCCCTCCTTTCGGCCATTCGCGTGCAGGTTAGGTGTGGCATCTCTGCCTGTATGAAAATACCCAACTCATTGTGTGGATTTTCTGAGGATAGCAGCCAGATGGAGAGCGACTGGAACAACCCCTTAAAAGCGCCGTTGCAGTGCATATAAACCAAATTAAGGTTCTATTTATTATTAAAATCCTACGTAGCCTTTCATAAGCTACTCATAGGTCACAAAAATGAAGAATCGAACAGTTGTGATAATAGTGATATTCCCAAAAAAAGAGCTGAGACCCTCTTTCGACCGACATGATAAATTATCACTGACTGACGGATGCGCTTTGTTCTAAGAACGCCCCATCATCACAAAGGAGCAGGTTGGTTTGAACTGGATGAGGCAGCCACGAATTCGGCGGTTCTAGGGAGAGTAGAGGTTAAAGCTGACTAGTCGATCTGAGTAGGGGAGATGGAGAAGTGTTCAGTACTGGTGGTTCTACGTTGAACTTTCTCCAGTGTCGTTGCATCGCGCTTGCGCTAAGTGATCCATACCTTGCTGCAGTCTACCAAGTAGAGTGTTATAAGAGAGGCCGACCAATAATGGAACACGCAATGTGGTAATCGTTGGTATCAATAGATGCAAAAAACAGCGAATCGGTTTGACGAGTGAGGTCAGGTGAAAATCCTCCCCGACACCGCGCTTGTACAGCCAGGGAGTCTACCGTAATATGCCGAGAGACGTCCAACTGCGCGCCATCATCAGTTGCAGTCTCTCTTGTCTACTTTCAAAAGCAGCGGCGGTAATCAAATGAGAACATGAAGACATTCTTGAATACCATCGAGAGGAGATCGAGAATCCTTCTCAATAACCAACACCCTTTGTATGGGTATATGTTGTACCCCCGAATTCTGTTGTTGTCTCCCTCGCCTCCACGTGTTCTGGAGCTCGGAGAATAAGCTAATAATCCTGTTCTTGTGCTTCTCTGTGTACACTTGGTGAGGGCTGCCAGCTTACCGATACATCCAACTAACACGTCGCATTCTCCTTTTTAGCCTATCTGGCTGTTTTGCATCTACCGATACCAACGATTGCCACATTTCGTATTCCATTGTTGGTCGACCTCTCTTATAACACTCTACTTGGTAGACTGCAGCAAGGTATGGATCACTTAGCGCAAGCGCGATGCAACGACACTGGAGAAAGTTCAACGTAGAACCACCAGTACTGAACACTTCTCCATCTCCCCTACTCAGATCGACTAGTCAGCTTTAACCTCTACTCTCCCTAGAACCGCCGAATTCGTGGCTGCCTCATCCAGTTCAAACCAACCTGCTCCTTTGTGATGATGGGGCGTTCTTAGAACAAAGCGCATCCGTCAGTCAGTGATAATTTATCATGTCGGTCGAAAGAGGGTCTCAACTCTTTTTTGGACCCACGGCCCTTTCTGTGATACTTGATGGCTCGCTGCAGTGCATGGGCTCGATTGTTAGTCTGGCAGACTGTCGGCGTCGTCATCATCGACAGCATGACATCACTGTTCAACACCGATGCTTCACTGCCGTACAACCATGATTTATTTGAAAG